TGGCAGTTTTCTTGAAAGATAGTGACAATTTATGCTTCAAGATTTCGCGTATGGAATGAGTTGTTTAATTTAAAAAATGTTTAATTTGTATTTTCTCATTTTCGCTTGACAAAGTGAATAGTTGTATAAATATATATATGATATTATAAAAGCAGCAAGGAATATGTTGGAACACTGTTGATGCGTAGTTATCCTATATTAGAGAGGAAGTATTCTGATTGCCTCGTAAGCTAATGTGTTGACTTCGTAAAGAAAACTTGGCAGTCGAGGCGATGTTAATTCCATTTTTATTTCCAACTGACATATGTGGCCGGAGATCATTTGGCACCCTAGTCGTGCCCGTTTCAAAAACATTTACATTATTGATATTATTGCAATAGGAAGCAGCGTATTGCGTCCAAGCACAGCCCTGACAGAAGCTGAATTGCATAGTTATGCAAGATGGAAGCACGCGAAGAGAAACGTTTTGATTTAAATGGTAGTTTCCGTTCCCAATTATTACGTCATCAGCGCTGCGCAGACCATGCAAAAAGGAAAGATCTAGAAATGACGCAATCGAAAGAAGTTATTACGAATTTTAGAAGAGAGATAGAGAATTAAAAGTTTTACCCGTTAGTTTAAATCTTACATATTCCCCCTTTCAAAGAGAAAAAGGCTTGGGGACAGAATAGCCTTTTTAGAAGAAAGCATTACAGAATGAGCAAAACTAGGGAAATACAACAGTGGGAAACATTCACAAAATTTTTTATATGAATGATGATTTTTTAAAATATAACCTTACAGACATAATTTTCAACAACAAATTCAAATTGAACATTAAAAGTTTTCATGTTCATCTTAAAGAATGTCCTAATTTTTCTCAAGAAAGTTCACAGTTCTGTAAAATACACTCACTTCCAAAAGTTAAGCACGGAGAGGAAAATGCTAATTTCCGGAAACCAATCAGAATTGAAGAGGATGCAATTCGCTGCAGAGGTAGATGGAAAAATGCAAATATGTTAGGTAACAGCCAATCGCGCTTTCATGTCAAGAAATATGCAAAAAAGGCAGTCTTATAAGAAGCCAGCTTTATGAAGGGTTACAGAAGTTGATTGTAAGTGCTGATAGAAGGTGTTTAAAACTTTCGTACAATTTGGTTTCAAGACATACGTGTTTCTATGACTTCCAGAAGACGAATGGAAGATTCTGAGCCCTGGCGTGCTGTGAGGCGCATTGAAGTAGGTCACAGATGAAGAGTCGATCACAGATGTTGCTCTTTTCTTCGGCGTTCATCATTCTGTAATTTCACGTTTATGGAAACATTCCAAACCACGCAGACAGTTGTCCGAAGGCGGTCGCCCAAAGGTTACAATCCCCGCGGAAGATCGATATATTGCTATTGTAGCCAAGCGGAATCCCAGAGCAACCTCCACACGTGTGACATCTATGGTTACAGCGTCCATTGGTAAGGCGATGTCTGTAGCTACTGTACGCCGAAGATTACATATGAGTGGACTGTACGCCCGGGTACCTCGAGTTTGTGTTCTTCTATTCGTTCAATCAAGAGAGGCACGATTACAGGGGTGCCGGGAACATGTCAATTGGAGTGTGTCTGACTGGGGCAATGTGATGTTTACTGATGAGTCAAGATTTGCTCTGGAACCAGATGACAAGCGTATAAGGATATGGCGTGAACAACGAACACACAATCAGTCCCAAAACATCATTGAACATCACGCATTATAGGCGTGAAGAGGCGGAAGCATTATAGTGTGGGCAGGGATTTTATTAGGATACCGCACCGACTTGCACATCTTTAAACAGAGTTCTTTGACGGCTGTCCGGTATCGAGATGAAGTCCTAGAACCCATTGTGAGATTGTACGCTGCAGCAGTTGGCCCTACTTTTGTTTTAATGGAAGATAACGCACGCGTCCGTAGAGCTGACATCGTCGATGTCTACCTGGAGAGTGAAGGGATTGCGCGTATAGCCTGGCCCGACCTTAATCCCATTAAAAATATTTGGGATGCTCTCGGCCGTGCTGTGTCTTCACATTTCCCACCTCCAGCACTTTTATTGAGCTGGAAACTGCTTTACAAGAAGAATGGCGATTGCTTAATTTTGCAGTGGTTGACCACCTAATTGAAAGCATGGTCACAAGGTGTAAACTTTGTATACAGATGAGGGGGGAGATCACATACTCTATTAATGTCCTCTTTTCATTTTATGCTGTTTATTTTCACTTTATACATAATTCTGTTTAAGTCTTCAGTATGTCATTATCTGGTAACTTACAAAAATTTAATACTGTTTCCATTTCTGCATATTATTATTGATTTTGTTTTATGCATAAATATATATGCTACTTTCCTGCCAAATTTTGTGTCAATCAAAGCAGTATTTGTTGATTTGTTTGCATTTTATATCTTCGTGCTTAACTTTTGGAAGTGAGTGTATTTGCTTAAACGTTAATCATAATCAATATTTCGAAGTGTACTGTATAATTAAAGTCTTTCTTAAAAATTGAAGCTGCCAATATAAAACCAAAATATTCTTTTACAGATTTATGAAATTTTAATTGATTCTTTATGATATAATCCACATTTTCTGAATTGTGAAGGAATGTAAAATAGAATTTAGAACTTAGTACATAGTTGGTAACAAAATTCAGTACAAGAATAAAATAAACTTAGACAAAAATTGGCAGATCTTCTACAGTGCAAATCAGCGTGACAACTTGCTCATGGCAGTGGGATGCTTAAATACAATTACACATATAAACCTCCGTTCCTTACTAAAGGTAACTGGTCTCAAAGGTAACTGGTACTCTATAATTCTAAAGGTAACTGGTACTGTATAATTCTCAACGTTTATTTTATAACTTATGGCCATAAAAACCTTCAAATTATTTAAATGAAATGAAAAGCAATTATACAAAATTAAATAGATATTATATTCTACACTGCCCTACAATAATAATATGGATCATTTAATTTTGTGAACATAAAATAAAAAAATAAATTTCATAATTATATCCATCTAGGGGAGGCATTTAAAACTTTTTAAATATAAACATTTCAAACACATCCATTGATATTATAAAATCGAAAAAATTTTCAAAATATTATAATGTAATTAAATTTTCATTTGAAACATTATTTGAAATAATATATTATAGTTATCGAAATTTCTAATTGACTTATTTTGTACAAACTGGAAGCTTTCTCCTAGTATACACATAGCCAACTATTTGGGCAGTTACCTGGATCGGATCGGATCGTAAATTTAATGTCTGGCCTCTACTACAAAGAGTAATCACCAGTAGATATCTTGACTCTTGGGCTTTTAATTTTTAATTTTTAATTTTTTAATTTTTATTTTTATTATTTTTTTTTTCAATCAAAGGCACACTGTCTTGTGTGCCGCGTTCTGGGGACTAAAAAACTAAGAAACACAGGTGGCAAGACAGGAAATTCATTCATTCGTGAAAGTTCAAGCATTTAAACAAAGATGCTGAAGTTAGTCCATTTAAGCAATAATGCTTTCGTAAATACATGAGAAAGTGCGGCTGAAGTCTTACACACAGTTAGCAGCTACTTGAGCGTGCATAGAGCAGGAGAAACAAGTACATCGTAAACTCACATAACTTAAAATCAAATTCAGGTTGATCCTTGCTTTAAACAGAGCGGTTATGATGATAAGACGCAAAAAGCTGATATCTAAAATACTTGTAATTTTTAACAATTTAGTATTACTGAAAATCATTTATATATGCCGTTTTAAGATTTTTAAATGGTAAAAAGAAGTCAAAACTTAAACACTGAGACGTGATAATTTTCTTTTGAAGGTAAACACTTATGCGGTCACGTATGGCTCGTAATTCAATGGAATTCAACTGGTATTATTCTAACTGAACTTCAGAGAGTAGGTAATTTCCACGTTCGTAAATATTTATTACACAGTTGAATGACTTTGCAAAATCAAAGTCCGTTGAAGAAATACGAAAAACACATTTTAAAATAACACCAAACTTGGCTATGTACAAAAACGGTGCACAGTTCGCTTTGTCAAGATGATTTATAAAAATCACAAAGTCCTTGGTGCAAAACACTAAACACAAACTAGCCAAAAACGTGAGTAAATAAGATACGAAAAAAATACGAAATATTTACATTATGTACATCACCACCACCGTGGGTAGTGGTGGATTGAACGTGGGCGTTTCACAACACTCTCCTGAGTGGGATCGTAGGTAGTAAGATTTCTTATGGCAGAGTAAGGAGAATTTTGCATACTTGTGAAAAATTTGTGTGCTGGGTCAGAATCTGTTTCTGAATTGTAGAATTTTTAACTCTTCATAGAGCTGCGGGCAGTTACTTGGAAATGACACGGTTCCTTTTATAAGGTAACTGGCCTTTGCGAACTGCATTGTAATAGTCCACTTATAAAATATTAACGACACTCAAATATATTTAAAAAAAATTATATACGAAAAAAAAATAAGTGGAAGCCTTCAAAGTTTATCCGAACATATTATGATCCGTAAATTTTAAAATCAGTTAACATGATTCCATACTATACATGTTTCCTATAATACTACTCAAAAACGATTTTTGTTTGTCATATTTTATAATAATGGTTTTGCATAATTATTTCATTCGCTTAAAAATTCTTATCAAGAATTCAAAATTTCCAACATAAACTCAAAAATCTATAACTTCTCTATATCTAGTTTAAATAACATAAACATCGTTACTTAATTTGCTCACGCATACTTATGAAAAATTAGAAAAATTAATGAACAAGAATTTCACATTTTTGCAAAACAGCACAATCAAACTGCAGAAATTTTAACCAAAATTGAATTGAAAAGTATAGAATTTGCAGCATATTAAATAATTTTGTCTCGTTCCTGAGTTAAATTCACACGAATATAACAATTTTTGAGCTGTCGATTGACGATTACTATTAGGGAAAAAAAAAGACGGAAGCGGAAATAATTTTCTGTCGCACATACTTACAAAGAAGAAACTCAGATTGATGACCTTCAACATAATGTAAAGCTGTTTCTCCTTAAGCGGTAATTCATAGTTTATTTAGGCACTTTTTTTCTAAATACTATGGAGATGGCCGAAGCAAATTCAATATGCCTTTTTACTAGACATTCGAATCGGGAGATTACTTTCATTCTGTAAACACTACGCATGATAATTATCTTTTGGATCACTTGCAAAATACCACATCAGAACGATGATAGGTTATCTTTTAAACACTTCACTTTTTTCATATTGCCTTTGAATTTATCACGAAACGATGATTTGAAGAGCTGAATAAATTTTCTATTGAGGTGTCAGGCAGCGGGAAACTTTCCTGTCTTATATGTCATATGACGTTAATATCAAATATTATTTGCGATTTTTCATTAATTGTTGTTTTATGATTTATGTTCATAGTAACCACGATAACTCCAAAAGTTCCGCATATAATCACTCCAAAAAATTCCGCATATAAACACTTGAAGGTCTCGTATATCATTATCATTATGCGGGATACAGTGTTAAAAAGATCAGGCTTATAGAATTTAAATCCTATCATTCGATCTTCAATAGTGTATGCACGTTTTTAATTTTTGAACGGTGATTAATATATTTGGCCATATGTTACTAATGAATGAATATTTTCCAATTAGCGTACTTCAGTATAGGCTTATGTTACTATATATAACATAAATCAAACATATACTATTTTTATTATCATTATTTTCTTTTCCGAGATGATTGAGTTATTTGTTCATTACGATCGAAATATTTCAATTTGTTCTATAAATTTTATAAAACGATGAATTTTGTATCACGAATTATTATTTATAGCGATTCTATTTAAGAATGAGCGCAATCCAATAAAACAAAAATCTCATTAATTTAGAAATTTAACAAAGGTTTCGAAAAATGCTTTTTAAACGAAGTCGGTTACTTTGTGTAGTATAATATTATAGTAATTCTGAAATTAGAATAAGATTCAAAAATATCAAAATCGGAGTGATAAATGAATCTCCAAAAAGAATGTTTCGTATACAAGGCTATAAACGTTCAGATATCAGCAAAATTGAAATTCTAAAATCGGCTCAGCAACAAAAAGGGACCGCTTTTTTATATTATTCTTTTTTTAAAAAAAAATATCTGTATCAGAAAAGCTGAGTTGCAAGAAATTAGCGTTTTCGGTCCTTGTGTTTGCAGAATTTTTTAGAAGCCAGGGCTCTAACCTGCAACTGTTTCCTCTCTTTTTAAGGAAGTAGAAAATTATTTCTACGCTTGTTTTTAGTGATAGCTAAGAACAGATAAAACTAAGTACTATTACATTTCATTTGGTACTATTGCAGAAAAGTCTTAAGAAGAAATTATGAATAATTTCACAAATTAGAATGCTATCTAATAACCGAAATGCAGTCAAATTGAAAAATAACTGAATCTTATGTTGGTTATTATTTACGACAAAATAATGATTGGTATTTACATGATTGAAATATGCGTTTTGCAGTGATCTTGTAAATGAAAATAGAGCAGCATTTATTGTGTACTTAATAATAATCTTTAGACATCTAAGCTCTGTTACGATGAGAAAAAGAAATGAAAAGAAAGCTGTACTATTTGATAAATTTCGTCGCCCACCAGATACCCGATAATTCAAAAGTTGATCATTTGACACTTATTATAAGATAGACTTCAGTGTAATCAATTTAAGGACCGATACCTTTATTGAGGCTCTTCTGAAGAAACTTATACATTATTTAATTTACGTAATTAGAAAATGGCAGAAACATCTATGCAGCGAGCGGGTTCTGCATACTGTGATCCGAAAATATATGCAATTGAAAATGCTGTGAACGCTTAACGATTTTTTACTGATACATTTCTTAAAGGGAAACTAATAGTTTTAAATTTAATAAAGAGATATAAACCACATATAGAAATACTAGTATTTACGTCTGCGTATAGACACAATAAGCATTTAAAGGCTATACCATTTCATTTTCAGGGTAAATGAATGCTAATAAGCGTAAAAAACTTGAGATTTTTCCCATTCTCACAGTATTCACATTTTATCCGAATGTTAATAACATATGTAAATCCCCTTTTTTTATTTACTTCACTGCTTTTATTATTGACATTTCTTCGATCTTTATATTCTAAAACTTTCCTATTCTCTGAGTTGGAATAAGAAAATTCAGAATTGAAATATCTTGCTTTACATTTTAGCTGCTGAAATAAATATGCTCTGCATATATCATGTTCTTATACTTATGTCATTACGTTTATCCATGCACATAACCTTTGAAATTGGCAATTTTAGATGCTGAACCTGAATATTCATTTTCTGTTGAAATACATATTTGAAAAATAATGTTTTTCCGTAAGCAAATAAAATGTACAATAGTATTTAAAACTATGATAATAGTTAAGCAAATTGTTATCTTTGAATGTTAAAATGTAATTTCATTGTTAAAAGAATTTATAATAAATATGTCAATATATTTCTGCTTTTGGAACAAAAACGAAAGCAGTACTAACTTCCCAACCTTCTGTAGCTCAAACTAAAAACAATTATTTAAATTGGTAAGAAACTTTGCTGAAATTCTACAACCGTCATGGACAGCTAAAGGTATTTCGTTTTATATATATCTTCGAGTTTTTCAATTTGCATCAAGAATAAGCAGAAATAAGACCCGTTTTGCCTTATGGCTTCTTTGATTTCCATCTCATTATCAGACTTCTAATTTTAAAGTCTTCCAAAAATTTCCATCTTCTAAATTTTTAATTAACTTTTCTTCAGCAATTTTTGTCATCTATTTTTAACATCTTTAGTGCATGATATATTTAGGCACTTTTGATTTTTTCATTCCCTTAATTGTACATCTCATGCCCAATTACATTGTTTCAACGATTGGCAGTGGTGGATTTTCTGGCGTGAAACCTAAAAAACTGAATCCTTCCTTTTCGTTTCAACTAATACCACTTATCTCAAAAACAAACAATTCCAAAATAATAGATCGAGTCTTTAAGGACAAAGTCTTATTACAAAAAGTAAATAAGTTCCCAAATATCATAAATATGTGGCACTGTATTAAATAAGTAATACTTATACCTTTTTATGTGTAATTTCAATGCAGGGAGTATTTAAATATGAATGCAGTGTTATTAAGAAAATATGTTGCTTCAGCCGCTGATGTTATGACTAAGCAAGGCTCGAATACTTCCGTAGTTACAATTCAGCTTAATTCCATGCACATCTTAATAACACTGTTTCATATTCCGCGTTTTATTTTTCATTTTGCTTGGAACATAATCTTTTGGGAAAAGAATTATTTACGAGTTAGCAGTTATTGTAACCACTTGATTTGTTTCGTACATTCGTGATGATTACATGCTTTTTCATTTTATATCTGAGTTCTGAACCGTGGTTATAAAACACTTTTTAGTAGTCTTAAAAATTACAGAAAGGAATATATTTACTTTTTCTATATAGAAATATATATAAATTGCTTTAAAAGATATAGAATGAAACGAGAAATGAAATAGTTATATAAAGCATTTTCTAGAGAAATCCAGAATTGAAGTGATAACTTTCACCTTTTGATGCAGTAGCAAATGTATAATATTAAAGTTTCTGCACTTAAAGTTCCTATTTCCTGCACTTCTTGAGAAAAGGAAGCTTAATTATTATCTCGAATAATCTAAACTTTCTGCTCAAATAAATGTTTTTTAGACTTTTAGAGTTAACGTTTATCGTGAAAAGTGTAACACAACTACATTCATCATCTTCAGTATTCAAATTTTAATAAGATAATTTTTTCGGTAAAATGGAGTTTTCCACTACAATGCCATTAGTAGTATCGAAATTCATATTCTTCATTCAACTTTCATGCTTGGAACCTGTATCTCTTAACACCTTCATAACTCCACAATGCAAACTCATAAAACCTGCCAATTAATTGAATAAAAATTGTTTCCTTTGAATTTTGTTATTTAAAATGCAAGCAGCGAGAAATGCATACAAATTTCATATTTTTGTGCATTTAAGAGAGTTATTAATAACTCTCTTAAATGAACAAAAATTAACGGGGATAATAACGTTAATGAAGAAAAATACCTAAAAATTTAAAACTCTTATGAAAATGGTTATTGTCTAATAAATGTTTTTTTAAACTCAGTAAAATTTATTTAACTTTTGAAAACGTTTCTAAAGCATTCTTTCTGCATTATACATACAATTACAGTGACAACTGTAGATTTGGTTGATATATTCTTCACGTATAACTAACCAACATTGTGAAAGATAAAATGAAAGCAACTCAGTACCAGGAAATAGCAGGCTCAAAGAGAGATTTATGCTAACTATTATTTTACAAGGATATATTATGCTATAATGCGAAGAACTAGATAGTTTGAGTTCTTAAATTTAATAGAAAGGAAATAAGAGAACTCAAGGGAGAAGCAACAGTACTTAAATATTGCAAAAAAGATGACATAACACATACTTCCTAACTAAATAATAAATTCAAAAAACTAAATATTACATATGAAAATTATTATCATTACTTTTTCATTCTATGTAATTTAAAAATTTTAAAATTATGCGTTTAATTTTATTTAAGTTTATATGAAAGCAGTTTATAAGATGCAATCAAGAATGTTTAAAATAGTTACATTTAAATGTATATTATTTCTAAAGAAAAGCATATTTTGAAGTATTGGATCTACGAGAAACCTGAAACCGATACAAAAATATTTCCCTACTCCAAATCCAATATTTTTATAGGGAGTCTTGCATAATCATAGTAGAATTCCTGAGGAAAATTTCTTTTCTTTCTTTATTGGTTTATTTCATCACTTTTTACCAGAATTATTTAAATATGAATTTTTGATTCAAACGTGATGAATATGCATCTACTATATTGAAAACGTCACATTTTGCATACAGCTAGTGAAAGCTTAAAATTTAAGCACCAGTCTGACTTCGTTTCCAAAACTGTTCCTCAAAACCAGGGATGGCTAATCTGAAAATGACTAAC